GACGAAAGTGGGGAGGATGGGAGACTCTAATGAACACGACAGAACTAAAGTGTTCACTTGTTTCATCACATCATCACCAACAGAAGTTTTCACATATAGAGTTTGTGCATTGGGGTCGACAGATACCATAGCTATTCCATATGTCTCAATTACGTCCATTGACTTCACTACTTTAAAAACAGGGAAGTCTGTGCTATTTTTAGAAATGTCGGTTTCAAGGGACTGATCATATGAGAGGAATACATATCTATAATGAGCAGCAAACAAAGCAAATCTTGGCTGGATATCATCAATTGTTGCTAACGCAATTTCTTTGAAAGGTATGGAATACCACTTTGATGATATCATTTGTGCCTCACACGACAATAACCGGCGCGTTTTCGGGGTCAAAACGTTTGGTAAGAATTTTTGTGGCTCTGCACAAGACTTGATTTTGTTATACAGCGGCACTTTGCAATTGCGAATGGTGTCTTTCCCCGGAGTCACATCCACGACTAAATGCGCCTGAATACATTCAATTTCAAACCCTAATAATTCTAACCCAAATCCATTCACCCATCCCGCGGTATTCACTATCAAAGGAAGATCACTGTACTCTTTGAAATACACTTCACAGATCTGACGCACTAACATCATCGCTAACTCACTGTTTATACCCAAATTACTATTTCCTAAAATGAACTGTCTTTTGGCCTTTGTAGGGTTTCCTATATACGACTCATTAAAGCCTTGTCTCTCATACACTGCTAACGAAAAAGTTCCAACAGTGCCACAGTACGGTTGTCCAGGGTCAAAATCCATCACACAGACCTCTTTATGACTCACTAAACTGTTCACTAACAAATTCACAAAAGTCGATTTACCACTCGACTTCGCACCAATGACACACACACGGAAAGGACCGTCCGAACACGTTTGCTGGATTTTGCGGAACATCTTGCGCCACTCGATTGGTACGGACATCCGCAACACATTTGAATTTTGAACGATGCGAACACCCCCAAAAGGAAACACCTTCATTGACAACTCGGTGTCGCGACTCGGCATTTCACTCGAAAGGTACTTTGTAGGAAGGTCATGTAACTCCTGTGAAATAGTTAACGATGGGACTATTTGCAAATCACATTGTGTTTTACAGACAAAAGAAAACGCTGGTTGGTACATCGATTGGTCGATGTGATGGGTGTCTTTTGTTAATAACACCCCATTCAAATAACAATTTCCAGAAAGAACAGTGATGTCGAAGTGGCCGTTAAGATAAAAGTATTTGTTCTCGGGAACAGAAAGTATCGTTGATGTGGGCGTGGCATTGTAAGTGTCAAAAGAATACATAAAACTTAACTTTAATAGTTTCTTATGTTTTTCATATGAAACCCTATATTTTATATCGGATTGTGTTTGGAGTTGTTTTGTACGTTTTCTTTTAGTGATTTTTTATATCGATTCCGATATAAGTAACACGTTTAAAAATTGCATTAAATATACTTTAACAATTTGGTACATTTTTTTTAATCATTTTTAGTTAACTAGTAATTTATAGCTTAAGTTTTACAAAAGATCACTGTATTAGATAGTTATAAAATTATTTTATTTATTATTATAAGTAACATATCGTGTTGTATAGTAAGACCTCGATTATTTCCAAACCTTGACATTTTACAAACTTCGACAATTTCAAAGATCTGATTGGTTGTTTGAAGTTTTTTGGATAAATGCGAGGTAATCTAAAGTTAGTTAATTTAAATTATTAACTGATATAACAATTTACTAAAAAGTTCAAAATCTTCAATTTGGAAAGTGTCAAGGTTTTTAAAATAAAAAAATATGAAATAATCGAGATCTTACTCTAGTATTTTCGATATTTTATGTTATTCATTTATTTTGAAATTACAAATATAGAATGATTCATACAACAAACTTATTGATAACTTAACACAAGTTATTTACAACACATTAAAATACAATGTAAATAATAGGTATAAACAATGTTATATCATACATAAGTTACATAAAACAAACACATCAAAAACAGATATAATGTAAATGTTTATTTGTATGACGAAACAACACTTCACAAAATAATATTGACATTATTTAATGAATGTCATCCAGTGAAGAACTTGATAATGAAAATTATATGTTAAAAATTGGTTGTTCTTTTAAAAATATACATGTATTTTTATTAGTTAGTTTTCAATTCAATAATTATTATACATTTTGATCGACATATATCCATTTTTAAAAACAAAGTAAATTTAACACATCAATAATAATCAGTCTGAGGAAGATTCTGAACTCGCTTTGTCTCCAATCTTTGGTGAAGCCAATAACTTTTGTTTGCTGTTTTCTCTGTCTGCAGTTTTTTGGAAAACAATTGGAGAAGCTCTATTTGAATCTTGGCTTGTCAACAAATTAACTTCTACTTTAGGTGTTGGAGTTTTGTTTTGTTCCTCCGAGTTTGAACTCGAGTTAGACTTCGATTTAGATGAAGAACTTGACATAATAAGTGTTTTCTTCTTAGCCATTCTTCTGAGCTCTTCTGCACAACCAGATTGTTGGACAAGTTTATTGAATATTGAACTTTCTGTTTTGATCAAAGAAAGTGGTTGTCCGTTCTCTGCAAGTCTTCCTTTATCAAAGACAAACACTTTGTTTGCATCCATTATAGTCTGGAGTCTATGTGCCACAGTAACAACAGTAACATTGTCAAAATTCTTTCTCACCATTTCTTGAATAACTTTATCTGTTTGTATATCGATGTTAGCAGTTGCCTCGTCCATAATTAATATTTTAGAACCTTTTAAAAGTGCACGTGCAATGCAAATCAACTGTTTTTCTCCAAGAGAGAAATTATCACCTCCGTCAATGACCGCATCGTCTAATGTGTATGAAGAATTCACCAACTGAAGTACACTTTTCATCTCCTCGTCACTCTTCTTTTCTTTCGGGTCCAAATTCTCCCTTATTGTACCACTGAATAGAGTGGCTTCTTGTGGTAAAATGCATATCTTCTTTCTTAGTATATTAAGAGGTACAGTAGCTATATCTACTCCATCAATCATAATTTTCCTCCAAGGGCTTCTTCAATTCTGAAAATTCCAGCCATCAAAGTGGACTTTCCACTACCAGTTCGACCAACAACACCAACTTTTCTTTGTCTTCTACAACCGCGCTGATCTTATTTAACACAACAGGAAGACCTCTGCGATATCTAAACTTGAAGTCAACAAATTCGATCTTCCCAGTTGTGGGCCATAATTTTGAAGGTTCAACATATTTTTCTTTGACGCGTTCCGACTCTTCATTTCTCAGTTTGTTTATCATCAAAATTCTTTCAGTTGATTGCATGAAAGTCTCAATCTCAATAAGACTCATCGCGAAATTGGTGATACTAGTTGGGATGGAGGTGATGTTAGTGAGTGCAGTTCCAGCAAGGGAAGGTTCCATTGAGTGTTTGAGTTTGGTAACAACAATTACAATGACTGTTACAATAGAGATCAAGGCACCTATCCAATCACTTCTTTGGAGGAACCAGTACTTGGTCATCTTGCAAGCGTATAAAGCAACAGTGTTATTTTTGACTTTGGCAATCAACTTTTCTTTGAATGAAATTTGTGCACCCGATGCTCTTACAATGGGGAGTCCAAGAATGGTCTGATCAAAGTGAACAAAGATCGGTCCTCTCATAATACTATCAAGCCTCTGTAATTCAATGACTGGTTTAATAACAAATGAGTAAATGGCTACAAAAATGATCAAAATAGCCAAAACCATGATTACCAAGTAGATACTAGTCTGTACAATAGTAATAAATGTGATCAAAATAGTGGAGATGTTGACGATCAATGGTTCAATGTAATAAGGCATATTGAAGTCGAGCATATGGAAATCTCTGGTGAACAAGTTTTGAATACGACCAATTGGTGTGATGTCGAAAAATCCAAGTTTGCATCTCAACAACTTGTTTATGGTTTGTTTGTGCAATCTTACAGAAACAGTGATACAGAATAAGACCAAACAAATTTCACAGCCAAAAACGCCAACAGTGTCACCAATAAATGAGTAACAGAATTGATAGAAAAATTCTTTCTTTCCTTGTGGCAACTTCAAAAGTGGATGGAGTGATTTTCCCCATTTGGTCAATGAGGCGTTGTAATAGTAAAGTGCTACAATTCTGCCCACCAACATTAAAACAACCATTGCGAACAAAATGAAGGATCCACTCTTTATATAATTGAAATAGACACTTAATGGAAGACGTCCAACTTCTCTACTCTCTTCTCTTACTTTTGTAGCATATGCGTCACCTGTAATGATCTCTTCAGTTTGGTCTTCGGCTTTTTCACTTTTAACTGAAAGTGTTTTCACAAGTTGTGAAGAAGCCAAATCACTTTTCTTCAACTCTTCTAGTGAACCATTGAATGCTAATTTATTGTTTTCAAGAACTAAAATTCTGTCTGCCTTCTCAAGTAAGTACATTTGGTTCGTTACAATAATTCGGGTCTTTTGTTTCAACGACTTTTGAATGGCGTTTTCAAAGATGTATGTTCCAACTTGGAAATCAACTGCACTTAGAGGGTCATCAAGCAACATGATGTCTTTTGAGTCGTATAAGGCTCTTGCAAGTGCAATTCTTTGTCTTTGACCACCAGACAAATTAGACCCCTTTTCTGATACAACATAAGCATCACCACCCATTAAAGAATCAATGTCTGTTACCAAACAAGCATCTTTGACGACTTGGTTATACTTCTTTTTATCAAAAGAGTTTAAGAATAGGATGTTTTCTCTGACTGAAGAATTCATCAACCATGGATTTTGGCTTGCATAAGTCACTTTGCCATTGATTGTCACATCGCCTTCCTGTCTTTCCAACTCACTCAACACTGACATAAGGAAAGAACTCTTTCCACTTCCTACACTTCCAATTACACAAACAAATTCACCCTTTTTGATATTCAAATCTTCACATTCAAATGCAGTCTCTCCATTTGGATAAATGAATTTAACATTCTTCATTTCAATTGCATTCTCTGAGGAAGAGTTGTTAATGCTGATTGGGGGAAGTTCTCGAGTAAGTAAGAACTTTTCAATTCTGGTCATGGCAACGTTAATGGTACTTGTGCAAGTAGCCAAAAGGCCAATTGTTCTGACTGGGACTCTAATTGAATTAAATAATGAAATTGTCGTGATGACCGCTGCAAGTTGGAATTGTGCCTCTTTAAAGATCATCACAGTGAAGATTGCGATTGACATCGCCGAACCAATTTGGATAGCCAATGAGAAGAATAAACTTCGCGAGAAACCAACAAAGAACAGGAAGATGATCTCAAGAACTCTTTTAGCTAATGTCTTTTTTACCATGGGTTTCTCCCATCTGTTGTACTTCACAAATTTAATATTTTTGAGTATCTCACTGAAAAATGAGAGTCTTTTGTCCTTTGCATAAATGAACTTGTAATAGAAGAACCCATACATCATGCCAAAGAATACATTGAGTGCTACAAAGACTACAAACACAACAAGTGGAACATACACCCACTTGCCCATGTTGTTCCATATCAACACAAACAACACTATGAACATCACTGGAGATGCACTACCAAACATAATCATTTCTATGTTTCCAATATATACTGGACAATCATTTCCCATAAGATTGATTAATTTTCCGGGTTCTACAATACCAGCAGAATTCAGTTTAAGAGCCTTGTCATATATAATTCCAATAAGTCCATTTCTAATTCGAAGCCCAAGAGTAAAGGCCCACTTCTTTGTAAATTCACTTGACAATGTTGTTATTAATTGGAAAAGTATTGTCAAAGCGATCCACAAAATACCCATTCCAACACCAGCGTCTTCTTTATTCAACCACTTGATAATAAATGAACTCATGAGTGGGAATGCAAGAGCAAACAACTCGTAAATTGCTGTTGTAAAGTATATCAAAACAAATTGCATCCATTCTTGTCTGAATATAGCTCTGAAAAGAGAAGGATGCTTTGAGTGCTCTTCTTTAGACCACTGCTTGGACAGTTGTCTTTCGTATTTCTCAAGTCGTAACGTTCTTGGAATTTCATTCATATCCTTAATGCTCAAATTACCTTTTCGACCTTTCAGTATTTGGTCAAAAGTCATTCTGAAAAACAACGTTCTGAAGAACTTAAAGAATGGGTTAATCTTCTTCTTTTCATATCTTGCAACATCATCGTTTTCAAAGTACGTCTCTTCTTCTGTTGAAGAAAGACTCTCTTTTTCATTCTCATCTTGGAGCTCTATATCATTAAGAATTTGTTTCTCACTCATTTATGAATGTACCATTCCAAGGTCAGGTTAAATACTTGGAGGGCAGGAAAAGTCAAATTGAAAACATATTTCTCTTGGTGGTATTGGAATAAAAGAGAAGTTTTGAAACAAAGCCAATTAAAATATATTTTAATTTACAATTTCATTTTCATTATCTTAGTCAAACAACCTTTCAATTATAAATACATTGAAATCAATACTTTATGGTCGGAAACTGGTTTTTAAAAAAGGCAAAACTTAAACAAAATGGAGAGCGTTGTTTCAAATTAGACAATCTTTTGAGTGTTTAAGCGGGGCTATCGCTAAAAAATGAATGAAATAAAGAATCATTCAAAGCGATACTTTTTCGAAACAAATAACTAACTTTGGAAGTATTTTTAATTTGGATAATTTATTTTAATTATTTTTAATAAAAATGTTAGAAATATTTTTAAACACAAAGAATTATAGAAAACAGTTATACCATTTTGTTGATTTTGCCGTAGAAAACAAATCTCAAAATAATTAAATATGTTGATAAAAGTGTTATACTTTATTAATATATTTATTATTAATATAATACAATGTAATAAAGTTCACAAGTTCAAAAAAAATAGGTGCACTTTGTGCACCAGTGGAAAGTATTTTTGAACAACAAAAAGAAAAATCTTCATGATTTTTTCGAAAATAAAAGCACAATCGCCATTTTTGGCAATTCATCCTCTGTTTTTTCAACGTTAATGCACCCCGAGAAATTTTGAATTGTGGTACAATTGTACCCTCAGTGGTTCATTTTTTGCATTGATCATTTTATTAAATTTAAATAGTTTTATTATTATAGTTAATAACATTGAATTAAAACATTCAAATTTTTACTATAATTAACAACTATCAATGGAAAAATCTTTTGTTTTGATAATGCAACTAATTTTTAAATGTTATTAGTATTGTTATTTTAAATTTTAATTATTTCTATTATAAATATGGTTTTGTCATTTTAATTATTTATTCTAAAAAAATTTTAATGATTGATATTTATATTTTATAATTAAAATTGAAAAATTAATTAAAAAAATATAATTTAAATAATTTTCAAATTTATAAAATAATTAAAAAAATCATTAAGTATAATATCATTCAATTATCATTAATTATGGACAAAAAAAATTGTTTATCACTATTTATACTACCAAAACTATATTTTATAATATAAAAACTTATTACATTTTCTATTCTAAAAAATAAACTAACAAAATAGAGACTTGATGCAACTTGACAGTTATTCTCTTTTAATAGTTTCCCGCTTTCTAATGAGCGCACAAGACTACATCAATGTCATTTCCGTATGTCACAAATTTGGAGAAACCCTTGACAAATTACACTACAACCCCCTTCCCATAACATTTGTGACATCAAGACTCTTTCCTAATATCGAGACACAACATCTGTACACAAAGTCGGATATCATC